GGAAAAAATAAGAACCAAGATGCATTATGTAAAGGTACAATTCCCAATGAGAAATGTAATTGTGTTGTATGCCTATAATGTACCAATAAAAGAATTTAATTAAAAAAATAAAAAATAAAATTTAAATACTAGAGAAATGAAATATTTTAATTTAAAATGAAGATCTCTACAGATGGGCTAAATGGTGGACTTGATATAGGTTAAAATACATTTAGTTCCACTGAGAGATAAAATTAAAAAGTCCCTTCACAAAATTACAAAGTTAAAAAATAAAATGAAAAATATAGACAAAAATTACACAGTAAGGACCATAAATAAGCACTTTTCTTTCATATCCTTGTGAAGTAAGATGTAGAGAAAATAAAAAAGAGATGATATTATATTAGATGATGAAGAAAATTAATGAAATGAAAAAGGCAATTTCTCAAATTTAAAAACCTACTGAATAAATGTTAAAATTGCATGATGTAGGGCCCGGGGATTTAGCTCACTGGCATTGCGCCTGCCTTGCAAGTGCAAGGTACTGAGTTCGGTCCCTGGTACCGCAAAAAAAAAAAAAAAATTCATGAAGTTTCTTTTAAAAGTATACACTGTAACAAGGTTGTGATGCAGCCAGTAGAGAGCATTTGTCTAGCATGCATGAGGCCCAGGGCTCCATTCCCAACACTACAAAAAAGATAAATACCAAAAGGCTACCAAAATGAAAACAAAGCTATAAAGCTATAAAGTAGTAACAATTGCACTGATCCCCATTTCCCAGAAAATAAGAACTAACTGGAAAATAATCAACCTTGAAAACTAAAGATCAGAAATGCCAGTGCCAATCTCTTTGCCTTACCTGCCAATACAGACTAGCCATAGAGCAAGAAAATAAGTTCTAAGTGAAAATAACCGTTAATTTAGAACTTTATAGTCACTCAAATTACAGATCAATCATCACCTTTTTTTAAAATGAAGCATCTAGAAAGTTTATTATTAACAGTTTCCCACTGATAGTACTGCTAAGGATATACTTTAGCAAGAGCAGTGAATACAATGAGAAAGAACAAAATATCAGAAGTAGTGTGACCAAATTAATAGATAAAATATGGTGATAAGGTCCAGGGATTTAGCTCAGTGGTGCTGCTACCTGCCTCTGCAAGCACAAGGTCCCAAGTTCGATTCCCAGTACCAAAACAAAACAAAACAAAAACCCAAATATGGTGATGAATCTGCTATTTTAATAATAACTCATTTTAAAATAACTAATAATATTATAGAAAGAAACAGGTGATATTAGGAGAACATTCTCTATTCATGTCATGTTTCTGGATGACTTGTAGGCACAAGTACTGACTGCCTGTAGATAGCATATCTTCATCAGTGGATTGATCCATTGATGGATTCATAATATGATGGCATTTTGGCAAGCGATAGAAATTTAGGAGTTGGAGCCTGGTTGAAAGTAGTGGGTCATGGAGGTGTGACTATATCGTGTCCTGAGCCTCTTTCTCTGTCTCTGGCTCATTATCTGTTTCCTGGCTACCCTGGGGTGAGCCACTTTGCTTCAACACACCAATTCACCATGTTCTGCCTCACTACAGGCTTACAGCAATGGAACCGGTAAACCATGGACTGAATCCTCCGAAACGATGAGCTCAAATAAATCTGTTCTTCTCTAAGTTGATTTTCTTAGGTATTTGATCACAGCAATTAAAATTTTACTGACACAAATCGTAACTTTTAAGCAATGAGTGTTAGAAACATCCCAGGAATGGGGTACAGAGAAAACAAAGTCATGGAGGTAAAACTGCTCTTCAAAAAAAAATCAGTTTATCTGAGGACAGACTGTGGAAGACATAGGCAAAATTTGTGCTTTCTCTTAACCATTTTACCCCATGAATTCCCCCTCTTCTAAATCTTACTGAAGAATATTGCCCAGTATTTTATCATCACTAGTTCTTTATCATCATTATTCCTTGTCATCATTATTTATCATTAGTCCTTCTCTGTCTATTTACTGACTGATTCCTAAACAATATACTTGAAGCTGTTATTTCACTTATAAAAAGAAAACCCTCCTTCGGCTCCTGCTCCCCCAACAGCAGTCATCTAATTACTCTTTCATTTTTCAGTGATAAAGTGTTTGATGGGTTAGCAATCAGTTTTCAGCATGTGACATAATTTGGAGAGGTCAAATATTAATATCTTAGAAAAGTCAGATTCAGGATTCAGCAATTCTTATGGAGTCACAGTCCATGAAAAGGGCAATAGGACCTCTCCTATCTCTCTTTCTCTCCTATGCAGCTGAAAGTTTCTTCTCAATTGTTACGTATATGTTGGTCAATTCACCCACAGAGGTTAAAAACTTGTCAAAAGACTACAATTAATAATGGCCAGTTTGGGCTGGGGATTTAACTCAGTGGTTCCAGCGCCTGCCTCACAAGTGCAAGGTCCTGAGTTTGACCCCCAGTACCAAAAATAATAATAATAATAATAATAATAATAATGGGCAGTTATGAGTACAAAACTTTATTCTCTTTAACTTACAAGCCAGTGTCTTTTACAGTAATAGTTAATAATTTTTTCTTTTTTGTACCAGGGATCAAAGTCAGGACCTTGCACTTGTAAGGCAGGTGGCAGAACCACTGGGCTAAATCCCTGGCCCAGCAGTTAATACTTTTATAGGACATTGGATAGAGAAATTCCAAGAAAGAGCCTTTCCACTTTGTGGCCCAGGAAAACGTATACACAAAGATTACACAGCAAGATTGCTACTTAGACACATTGACTCTTAAAAAATCACTCACCTGACATACTCACATATTGTGTGAAATTTCCTAGTTCACCAAGTTCATAGTATATGGTCTGTCCTGGAACACAAAAATTTTAAAATTGGGATCACTAGTGACTGATGTGGTCCACAGCTCAGAAAGACGTGGATGGAGAAGTCAGTTTAAAAGAAACGCAAAAGTGTGGTTGAACTATGGGATCATTGCATTTCTGTAGCCAGTTAATAGTAGTTTCTTCTAGACACAGAGTTGCAACTTTCATATGAATTATCTAAACAAGGGTACCATTATAATAATATCTGATGTTTATTTAGTGCTGTTTGTTTTGAAAAATCTTGTAAAATCTTTATATCTATTATTTTCTATGATGTAAATGGCTGTGGACTGCATTGATAAGATGAATAATATTTACAGCTTGCTTGAAAATCACTTCAAAAATTTCTAACTAGTATATCAGAGTCACACCTGTTCTCTGTAGCTTGCCAAATGATTTCCCTCTGAGTACGCTGCAATGTGTTTATCATTAATCTGTGTAGCCCTAGTAGGCCTGGATTTTGATGGCCTTACTGATGTTTTCTTCCCATACACTACTGAGAACTTCCAGAACTGGATTTAGTGAGTTATAAAACACAGAATTTCTTCTATAAAGATAATGGAGTCCTGAAATTTTTCTTTTCTTGTCCAAAGCATACAAATAAGCTAAGATTCTAGGGCATTAGGAAAAGTCCATCCATTTAGCCAGGCATTTATCCAAAAGAAGACAAAGATTGTCTTTTTCTTGCATGCATAGTTGGTTAAATTTAAGTAATCCTAGACTCTGAAGCTAACTATGATGACTAGCTTAATGTATTGAAGAATATACCTCTGCTAAGTACTTTATTATTACATATTCCTTATGTATGGCCTTTGCAAAGAGTTAGGCCTGTTTCTAATTCCTTTATCAGAGCTGATACAACTGGGTAACAAGCTACACCAGACCTTAACGAGTCCAAAGGATTGACCTGGAGGCCGCAGTCATGAATATATGATTCTTACCTAGATTCTTAAGCTTGTGCCCTGGCCATTGGTAAATTAGGTATACATAAATAAGCCTCTTAGGGATCAGATTATAATTTTCAAGTGCATCTCAGCTGCACAATGATATACGAATAGAGGCCCTGGGCAGAAGTGGAAGTAGGGAACAGTTCTCGACAAACACCATTTTCTCATAGTTTACTCCATGGTTTGATTTTCTTTTATTTTGCCTTTTTTTTCATGTTTTTACATTTTGCTGTTATTCATGATGCTGTTGTCATATGAAAAGGGTAGATTCATTATTACATAAAATGTAAGGTGCTTCATGAGAATATTGTATTTCAATCCAAAAATAATTCACATCTCAAGGTTTTCTTGATTAAATATTCTTAAATTGTTACACTGTTTCTCCCTTAAGATTTTGTACTGAAAGAGCAAGTTTTCTATTAGATTCTCTACCTCTGTGCTTACAAGACGTGTGCTGTGGGTACCTTTTCAGTGAGGGTCTTTCCAGCTCCAAGAGCACTAGGTCTGATCTGTTTCCTACTGTACACTGACATCCAAAACTGCCAGACACACAGCTGACATTTAATAAATAAACAGTTTCTTTTTAACATAAAGTTTTCTCATTACTAAATACTGAGTGTTCAGTTAAGTCAATCCTTCTGTCAAAAAATTCTAAATTTGTAGATTAGTATTTACAAAATGCCACATTTCCAACTTTTCAAAGTTCCAACAGTAATTTTCTGACAGAAATAAAGATGAGGTACAATCCAGCAAATTCCAGAATCACAACTCAAGAAGAGCCTGGATGCAGAGTGTACAGAGTAGTTCTGGCCAGAAAGGAAAAGGAGATGAGTTCAGATGACCTGGAAAGTGGTATTTAGCTACAATAACCAGCAGGTAATAGGAAGAATTTTGGGGGGAAGTAGAGCTGTTTACAGATTTGAAACAATATCAGTTTACATTCTTACCTACATGTCAATCAAAAGTCAGGAGGTAGAACAGCCCTAAAACAATAACGCTGTGTGTGCCTATAGCCCTCAACCTAAGGAAAGTATTTAGCAGTTTAATGATCCCAGACACAGCCTAAATGATGCCAGTCTCTCTGAGAAGCTGGCCTCTCTTCCAAAATTGTTGGGCAGGATTAAAAAAAACATATCTTGGATGGCCAGTGCTTCTTCCTCGAGGCAGGCTTCCATGGATATGGTGGAAGAAAGACTCCCCTGGTAATGGTTTCAGGTAACAGGACTCATTCAGGTTGTGAGGGTGTTGTTGTGAATATACATGGGGCCAGGTTGGACAGACACTGTGCACTTTGTAGGGGTGACAACAAATAAGGGCCAGATGAAGTGCCCCAGATATGGAAGGCAACACATTCTGTATCTAGCCAGTTCTTCCTGTCCCTAGCAGGACTTGAATATCCTTCCTGTTAGCATGAGATTGGCCTGATGCAGGCCTGACCTACTGAGGCAGGTGAACTCTCACTTGGACTAAAAGCTCACCCTCCAAAGCACAAGTTAACACAGGAAGGAAGAGAAGAAGAAAGAAGGGAGAAAGAAGGGAAAGAGAGAAAGGGAAAATGGGAGAAACCACAGAAGGGAGAAAGAGAGGAAGGGAGGGAGGAAAGAGAGAAAGCTATTACCATGGCTACTTCAAACAAATTTACCCAAACTTCCTATTGCACTAACTAGAAAGTAAGGACTACTATATTTCACAAAAGAACGCACTTCAAGCTAGCACTTACAGAGCACAGGAATGCTTAACTGTCGATAACATGTAGAATTAGCTCAGACCTAATTTGTGAACATATTAAGACTCAGCTATATTTAAAGATCAAATCTGGATGCTGGAAATGTTGTCTGAGGTTAATTTGGATGAGAAATATGAATCTGTCTCCAGGGAATTCACTCTTAATTTAAAGAAAAGAGGTAATTTCCAGTGTAGTATCTCACTGGTACTCAGATTCAGCCTCAATCCCAGAGCCCATGAACTTGGCTCTAGGCTGTGATAAAGGACTGCAACAAAACGGAAATATCCACAATTCCTCAGGAACACAAATAGCTCAGAACAGAATCTAAGGAGTGTGTATCAAAAATAGAAAGGAAATCTGTCAATTTAGTTGGACCCTTGGCACCACATACAGCATCAGATGATCTGCCTTGAAGCCCTGGAACAACTTCTGATTTTTCACAGCTGTGTCTTTGGGATTTATAAACATAGGAAGTTATAGTTTTGGTAATGGCAAGAGACACATTTGCAGACATTTAGTAGAGTCATCTTTTCCATCTTGGCACCATAACTTGAACAACAAATTTTCTTAGAATATTGTGAGACCTTCCTGGAGACCCCTTTGAAGGAGAAATGAGGGATTTGCAATAGCAGGAGGGGTGCAGTCTGAGAAACACTATCCCTATAATTTTGCCACTATTAGCTCCTTGACTGACGTGAACTGGTGAAAAGCCAAATGCACCCATTATTGAATCAGCTGAACAATTTTAAAACTTCCAAAAGACCAATGCAAAACATTCTTTTATTTATATGTTAACTGTTTCTGGTTTTCACTGTCAATGCCAAGAACAAATCATGCACACATCACATAGGTCTATTAAATGAAACACAAATAATTTAAGACTTTTCAGACAGCAACTGGTTGGACTATGGACCAGCTTCACACATTGCATCTGCATCCAACACAGTAGCTGCACTGCAAAGAGCATATTCTGACTAAAATCTTAAATAAATAAAAAACAATAAAATTATTACTGAAATTAACTGAACAAAATAACCTGAGTTCCATAGTCTGTCGTTAATTACTCAAAAAACACTAGTACAATATTTGTACCATGTATGCTCAAGACTTTTATATCATTTTTTGAATAGACTTATTCTTAAGATTGGAAAAGTCAAAATTATAGTAAAGTCCAAAATATCAGCTATCTAGATTACTGAATATAAATATCTCAGAAGATCAATCCTAAATGCCTATGAAAGGGGGTGAAATTAAAGATCTGACAATTCTATTTTAGATCTCTGAATTGCTCAAGTTCACTGTCCAAAACAGTGTAGACCACACACTAATACCTTAAAAACACTGAGGATTCAATTGATCTCAGGATATCACAGCATAAGGCCCCAACAAAACACATATGAAAAAACTTTAGTTTTTAAAAAGTTTATAGTAAATGCTTTCCATTGATTTCACTATGTTAAGTAACATTACTTTGTCTTTGAAATTAGACAGATGTCCACATGGTTTCCAGATCTTCAATTACTAACAGCTGTCCTTAGACAAATTATTCACCTCTTTCAGCAGTGTTATCAATCTTGTACAGGTGAATAACAACACCTAAAGTATATGAAGTGCATGAAATAATGTATGTATCATATTTAGCATAGTCCTTGATATACAATAAATTCCCTATGAACAATAGATGCTACTGTGGCTTCAATTAATGCTATTACATCTATTGCTTTTTAATATTAGTGTTACTGTTGTTATTATTACCACTACTAAATGACCAAGCATCAAAAACTCTAGATGTGAGAATCATAATGAGCTTATTTATTTTCAACTATACACATGCAAAAATAAAAGTGATGACTCTAAAAGTTCTGGATATTGAATAATCCCTATTAAATTTTCTCTGTAAAGAATTGTGGAATTAATATTAGCTTAGCATGCTTGCAGCATAGTTGATTAAAACACAGAGTCCCTTCTCTCTCCAAACATTTTGTTCTTTGGGAAGCCTGCCCGAAAGAGCCTAGAATGTAAGGATCTCAGAGCAGCTGCACATAACAGTGGGTATCTTTTTAAGATTTCAAATATGAAAAAAAAGATCTCAAATATATATCATTTGACAATTATAAATGACAAAATAATATCTGCCAACCATATTTTAAAGCATACAGCATATTTATTAAGCCCATAAAATGTACATATTTATAATTATACCAAGGAGACTACTAATGACGTGCAATTCAGAACAGTAACATCAGTGAACTTGCAGCATACTGATACTATGAAATTATCGTAGGTGGAACTAAAGTAAACTATACAACACAGC